TTTCCGCGATAAAGCATCATTTTTATGATATATGTTATCGCTAGGAATAGACCCCCGGGCCAGAGCGCTGCTGAAAGAGATATGGTAACCGACTGAGCTACGGGACTTTTGGGCTGATACGGCAGTTAGTCGAGTTTATGATTGTTTTTACATATCATCGTTTTCGTGACAAATATCATCGTTTTTAATATCTTAACGGGGATAATCCTCTGCCTTGCATAGGATTGATGGGTGGATTTGGAGCGTAGTACGTGTTTTAACACATACTTGGGTGCGAATTTAGGATGGCCCGGCGATGGCCGGGGACGACCTAGCGATGGCCCGGCCCGGCAATGATTCGATAATCGCCCAACGATATCCAACGATATTTTTTGCCTAAAAACCGTGAAATAGAAGCTCCGGAACAAGTATGGTCTTCGTTACACAAGTTCCGGACAGAAAAAACACGTTCTCGGCGCATAATCAGAGTCTGGCGATGGCCTGGCGATAGGTTTTTTTGCTAAAAAATAGATTTCGAAAATTACGGAATTGGTCTAGTTACAATTACTCCATATAGAAAAAAACACGATTACGATAATCTTTTTTTAAATGGGGTAAGATAAACCGTGGGTGACCTCTAGCCAGCATATAAGTTTGCCGAAATCGTGGTTGCTCCCCTCTGCGGATGTCCGGCTTGGAAGATTATAATAATTTGTGTTACGGGATGATATGTTACGGGGTGATATAAATCGTAGGCGACCTTTGGCCAGCGTGTGCATTTGTCATATTTGGGGTTACTAGCCCCCACTTCGGAAAACCTGTTAAGGCTCCAGGGGTTCCATTACGGACAATAACATATAAAAATAATGATAAACTCGGCTAGCTACCGTATCACCCTAAAGGTCGCGTAGTTCAATCGATAAAACACTTCTCTTCCCATTATAGAGCTCCCGGGCTCCGGCACATTGTTGACGCTCACAACGACGAAGGGTAAGTCACTTGCGAAGAGAACGTCTCGGAGCTCTGAATGGAAGGCTGGGTTGCGGCCCTATTCCCTCGTGCCGTAGTAGTTTATAGCACGGCCGCGGAAGATATAAGGGGGTCAGCGTAAATACGACTGGTCTGCTGGGGTGCCGGGCAGGACAGAGCACGTAGATAGGCCAGCGTAACCACGTTGGACGTTGGCTGCTGTAAACGCCGTACGTTGCTCAAGGGCAATAGCCCTTTACGCGCGAAGCAGCCACGCTTTCCTCACAAGCTGTTGCGCAGCAGAGCGTACGCGCAAGGGCCCTCGCAACGCTCGGCAGAAGGCGCCGAAAATAGAAACATTTATCCTCCTTGTGCCCCACTAGGCGCACCAGCAGGAATACCGGATCCCGTCTCAAAAAGGCAACGGTACGCGCGCGCCGAGTGCCGGGGCATCGAATAGATTGCGGGCGAAGTTGCCGCACAATTTTCCGATAAAGAGATAAACATGTTTCGGTCCCTCGACTTCAACCAGCGCCCACGCTTCGAGCAGGTGGTGGACAACATCGAGCAACAAACCAACAAATTTTATATCTAATTTTATAGGTATTAATTATATTAAAATATATTATTCTAATACATTATATATATTATTTTAAATTTAAATACAGAATATTTAGTTTTCGAGTAGTTTCTCCCATAGCCTTAATAGATCCGGGCTAGTTATACGTCCTTATTCGTCGCTTCTACGGGAATACACACCCATCCTCGAAACAAATATAAACCTTTCCAATATTCCCAATATATTAATATTTATATAATTTGTTCAATAAATAATAACTATAACATATTATTAAATAAATACTAAATATATATAAATAAAATATCCAAATAAATTAAATAAATACAATTAAAATATCTAAAAAATCATAATAACTACAAAAATCTAATACGCCCAGGATTACTAACAATTAAAACTACTAAACACAAAGCCAAGCGCATACCAAACATTAAGCGATCCATATATTGCTTACGTAATAATGCAACTCACTTCGTGGGTTATTATATTGTAGCAAGAGCCTTCAAAAATATTATAATAATTATATCAATTTAATATATTTTTATATAATATTTCGTAATAATAATATTCCGAATTATTATATATATATATATATATCCCGGTATATATATTATAAATAATTTCATAAATCGCCAAACTATAAATTTCCATTCTTACCAACAAACAAATATAACCCATAACCTTCATCCTACTCAAACGATTAACCCCAATATATTATATACTAAAAATAAACAATAACAATTCCAATTAATTAGTTTAAATAATCTTCTAAATATATAATCTATATTATAGGAAAAACAAATCATTAAATAAATCAATTATACCCAATAATTTATAAAAATAAAAATATATTCAATTATTATGAAATATTTTGTTATAATATATATTTTCTATAAACATATAATTTTAGTTAAGGCTCTAAATATTCTACTAAATTTGGATTATAATATTTATATATTTCTTATATATAATTTAAATTCTAATTTTAGGTTTTGTGGAAAAATAATAGTTAGAAGGATTCTGAAATCTTTGTTAATTTTTTTTTTTTAAGAATATTTTTATATTTTAAATTATATTTTGTTTTTATATAAAAATATATGTTTTTTAATATATATTTAAAAGGTTTAATTATCATTTTACAATTGTAGATTTATATATATTTATTAAAATAATATATAATAATAATAAAAAACAAAAACAAAAAAGAGATATGAATTTGTAATAGTTAATAACTCGGGGATTTTGTTTCTCCGAAATTTAAATTATTTCAATTATTTTAGAAAATATATCATCTGCAATTATGCAAGACCAATAATTTCTTAGACCCTGTTATCCTCCCAAATCTTTCAAGCTCCCCTGGCAACTAATGACTGCATAATGCAGTTAAACGAGTTCTGTGATCTCCATGCAAACCTAGCTTTCTAAGCTGTCTGCTTGAGGGCTTTGACCGCCTTGACCGCCTTCACCTGGGGCTGCAACACCAACCACCACAGCCCTGTCCAGTGAGGGGCTGTTGTAGGGCTGGTTGGTGCGGGGCTCCTTCTTGGCCTTCCTGACAAAGAAAATGATGAAGGTTACCAGAGCCACCAGGATCAAAGTGTGGAAACTGCCACCACATCGGTCGGCTTCATGCTTGGCCTCTGTCCTTTGCGTCTTCCTCACATTCGAAGCACTGGTGGGACCAGGTAGCGTCTGGAAAGTCCAGCAGGCACCTTCATAGATGCCACAGTGGCATCCGGATTCAGGACCATTTCCAGGCACATAGCAACCTCATCCAGATCCATGGCAACAGGACCAGCACTCATGGCTCCAACATGCTCCAACTCTTGTTCGCAGCTGTATCACAAGATCGTTCAGACAGGGTGCATTCACAGCTGTGAGTCACTGAGTTGAAACATCCCCAAGAATATTGCTTCTCATTCTCGCACTGGGGGTGATGTGTATTGGTGCTGGCATCACAGGAATTACATGCATCCGTCCAAGTGGCTTGCCTTTGATGACAAGTGGCCTCATTGACCTTGCAGTCGCAAATGTGGGTCTCCACATTGTAACAACCTGTGCCGGCTTCCACCTGGAAGAACATCCAAGCCAACACAGCCATCAAGACTAGCAGCGAGCTGTTGGATCTGGCGGCTGATGTCTGGATGGCCTCCTGCAAACAATCCGTGCAGACACATTACAGTCGCAGCTGTGCGTGGGCACACCGTAACAACCCCAGGCAGGTTGAGGTGTGCTGGTGGTGGATGAAACTGGAGCATCTGGGACATCATGGTAGTTGCAGGAATCTGACACGTTCTCACAGGACTGCTGGCAGTGGCAGCAGCCGGAACTGCTGCTAACACAAAGCCAGGCGCATACCAAACATTGGGCGACCCACATGATGCTTGCGCAACATCGCAGCTCACTTCGTGGGTTGTCATGTTGCAGCAAGAGCCTTCAGAAGTATCGTAGTAGTTGCAAGAATCTGACACATTCTCACATGATGCCGCGCAGTAGCAGCAGCCCGAACTGCTGGACACATGCCCCGGCGCATACCAAGACTTGGGCGAGGAACATGAGGCTTGGGCCACATCACAAGTCACTTCATGAGTCGCCAAGCTATAACACGAGCCTTGGGACACCGAAGCTTTTACGCTTGCCATCAGCCAAGAGAAGAGCATAGCCATGACCTTCATCCTGCTCAGATGTGCTGTGTGGAGGCGGCTGATCTTGAGGCGATTGAGCCCAAAGTGCGGCGCATTGAAAACGGCAGATGACAACTCCAATTGGTTGGTTTGAGTGAGATATTTGGTGTGTAGAACATCAAAGTACCGGCCTATGCTGTGGGCAAAAACTAGCGAACTATGATGTAACTTGCCGAATGGACGATGCCATTGGATGATAGCCAACTGCGCCCAATAACTGTGTATATCAACATTGCAGGGTGTTTGCATATACATGTCGAAAGACCGCCTCGCGCCGATGCGCCGACACGCCGGTGCGCCATGTCAAGACATGCTGGACGAGCCCTTGGTTTGGACGCTGCTACGCCGATACCCGCACGCAGGCGAAGCACCCACACGTTGATCCGCAGCACGCCGATACGCCGATACACCAATACGCCGGCACGCCGATACGCAGCACACTTCGATCCATTTCACAGCCGAACCTCGGCCATGCATTAGGGTAGTTCCTGGCGCCAGCGCTACAGTAACTAGAAGGAAGAGGAGGCTTTCTGGACTTGATGCGTGGCCGAGGAAGGCCGCTCGATGCAACTCGCGCGCGCGCGCGGCTAGAGCGCGCAAGTTTACGCACTGCCATTTCCTAGCCCAGCCTCGGCCATGCGTGTGGGTAGTTCCCGGCGCAACCGCTAGGCCAGGCTTGTGGTCAACTGGAGCATGCCTAGTAGCTGCCGCATAATTCTTTTCTTCTCAGCGGGCGGTCACGGATCACTCGCGCCTCCCCAGCCGACGGTGCTTGTGGGCATGGCCAACAACTAAGCGCCTGCCTCTCCGCTGGCAACAGGCCTTCGCTTCAAGCTCCAGCGCTGGCTGTCTGTCGCGTGGAACAGGCGCCTGTCAAGCCTCAGAGCCTGCTTCAGAGCCTGCAAGCCAGCAGATAGACCGAAACGCGACCCAGCAGCTAGGCAAAAACGCGACGCCGAGACAAAACATACTCGCTTCCCAATTCAGTTTTCCATGATCGCTGGGAGGCTGAAGCACCGGCTCCTCAGCTGAAAAAAACACACTTTTGCGGCTGCTGAAAACATTTTTGCGGCTCCCAAGTTTAACATCCTGTCGGCCACGTGGACGTTTTCTCAGCTGAAAAAACGCAGCTCCCAAGTTTAACGTCCTTTCGGTCACCTGGACGGCTTAAAACTGTCAGCTGAAAGTTACTTTTTTGTGGCTCCCCAGTGTAATGCGGCCACCCGGACGGCTGGCCATCTGAAATTGCCCCAAGTTTAACATCCTGTCGGCCACCCGGACGGCTGTTCGGCTCTCGCGATGCCCAATCGGGAGCATTTTTTCGCGGCTGCTGAAAAACATTTTGCGGCTCCCAAGTTTAAGGTTCTGTCGGCCACCCGGGCGGTTTCTCAGCAGCTCAAGCGATAATATTTTTGCGGCTCCCAAGTCGTGTCGGCCGCCCGGACGGCTTGTCAGCTGAAATTATTTTGTTTCGTCTCCCAAGTTTAATGTCCCACGGCACGGGGATTCTGGGGCCGAAGACTCGGGTCGCGCGTCGCTCTATCTATTGGCCCGCACGCCTCTAGCTGCTGGCCCGCAGCCCTGAAGCGCATTAGGAGCTGGCCCGCACGCCCTGGCTGCAAGGGCTGAGGCGCGGCCCGAAGGGTCGGGAGCGTCAACAAGGCGCTGGGGGCCCAACGGGCTGAGAGCGTCGCGTCTCTGTCTGCTGGCCCGCAGGCCTTGAAGCAAGTCCGAGGGGTCCTCCGCCTCACGTCTCTCTGCCTCCCCCACTGCTTCACTACTCCCTCCGCAAGCGTCACAGGGAGCACTGCAGGGGTTCAGGAGCGGGACCCAGCTCGGGGCTACGTAGCCCTTCATGGCCAGGCCAGCCCTCGCAGGCGAGGAAACTGTTGCACCCAGGCACCTACCGCCAACCTAGTCATGCCTGCCACCCGCACCCACTGCGAAGAGCAAGTCCCCAAGCTCCCTAAGCGGACCGGCATAGGGGCAAGATAGCATGACGTGATCAGACAGCAGCAACCGCCTTGCAGGGGTACTAAGACATCCACCCCATATAAAATATATTGTTAAACTCAAACATTTAAGGAAAAATCATCGACCAATACAATACCAATTAGCTAAATTCAAATAAAATAACTAAATCAATGATTATTACTTAATTTGTTCATCAAAAAAACAAGAAATACCTTTGCAACCCTCACAAGTGCGCACTCAGGATCCTAAACTCTGCGACCCTTTAATTCTCCCAGCCCCTTCCCAGTCCCCGCCGCTTGTGTGCTAAAGCTTGCGAGAGGCCCACATGGCACCAGAAGAATTATGTCCAGTGCCATCCGTCCAATGGAACGCCGATCGTATGCACATGCTGCCAAGTGATTGCGCTCATCACCACAGGTATCCACATTCCACCAAGATTGATTCCGGCCACCGCCCAACTATTCACGTGATTTTACATGACACCAAATCACAGGTGTCTGTCCGAATCGACAAACTGTGCTTCATTTCAGTTGATTATTTTATTGTCCGCGTGTCCTTCTGGCACAAGCAGCTGCAACAAGCCGCGCTTTGGATCATCACCTGAAGCTGAATCCAACCCGGAGATCCACGAAACCTTTGGCAACTTTCTAGGCAAAAAGCTTTGCCAATGGGACCGAGCAGCTGTCCATGGCCAAGCTCAAGAGCTTAAAGTCTGCACCTCGTGTCAGGGATTTGGCCAATCCACAATCCTGGGAGGGAGTCTAAACGCACCTCAGGCGCAAAATCAAAACACAAGTTGTTCCTTCTTGAACTCAAACTTCGCAATTGAACAATTACATAGCACCACGAAGGACACAACTTCACATCCCTGGACAAACATAAGGACACTGGCTTCCGTGGCACCGCCGTGCACCATGTCCAACATGCCAATATGTTCAGTGATTCAGGGGGCACTTTCTCGGGCTCCCGGCCGCAAGCCCTTGCTCTTTTGTACAACCTAAGCCCCGGCTCACCGAATATTGCTGCGAGTCCGCAGAACTTACCATTGTCGTGACATGTCGGTACTTTCGGGCGGAGCTTTGGCAATTCACCCTTGCTGGCTCCATTTTGGGGTGGATGAACCTCCATTTGCCACCTACTTTGATGTTCACCATGGGGTACAGGGTTTTGACCCACACCCATGTGAAGGCCCTAAAACCGGCTTCCCACTCCTCAAAAACCCCAAGAGCTCAGCGGGCGCTTCAGCCTGCTAAAGCGCTCTGGGGCAGCTGCTCGATGAGGCTCAAGCTCTGGAGCTCTTCCGGGCCTCAAATGGCTGTGGTTGTGAATAGGTACCCAAACTGGCTCACCCTGGTAAAAGGAAGGGACTAAAACCTGGGATCCAATGCCTGGTTTAATTTTGACCGCCAAATGAGTCATAATCAAAACCCGGTATTTACATGGTCTGCCTACCCAGAACCATGTAAAGAAATAAGAACGCGGCCCCAGCTATTCATGGCAAGGGGGTTATCCCTTTGAAACCTTCATTTCGGCGGGTTTTGCTTGTGGCTCAAATGGCCGCTGACATGGGGTGTGTCTCCGAATTTTGTTTTTAGGAAAAAGCCCAGAATGCCAGGGGGTTGCCACAAACAAAACAACATCAGCAACTGTGAGTGGCGTGCGGCAACCAGATTCCTTTTTTTCCTGCTTCTGAAGACATGTGGTTCAAGTCTAGTCTGTGTTTAGGTAGATGAGTTATAGTCATAGTTGAGAAAATAAAGACCCCAAAAACACATGCTGATAGTGCTTTCTAGCTCTTCTTCAGTGGCTTTAGCGCAATCATCCCAGCTTGTGTTTCCCAGGAATTTGGTGAGAACTCCAGATACACGAAGCTTCCACTGAAAACAAGCACATGCTCTATGCTTCTGCGCAAGCTGCATTGCACAGCGCATGGACCACACAACGACAGCCCCGAGAAAGGACACAAATGTTGGAGGAGGCCTTGAGGACACTGTTACCTGGTACTAAGTCATCAACTTGATGTTTTAAGAGCTCTCAGCCCTTGCCGCCTACAGCAACGTCAAAACGATATGATGACTTTCGTTGGTAGAGCCACAAAATGAATTCAGTGTCCCCATGGCACCTGAGCGGAACGACAACGCCAACAAAACACGTGCTTGATTGCCAAGGCCTCAACTACCCCATCTATGACGGTCTTGCTCTTAGCAGGGGATACAACTATTCCTTAGCAAAGTGCCGTTCCCATGACCTCAAAAGCAAGCCAAACGATTGCAGACTACACGTCATCTGAGCTTCCCTGCTAAGGAAAGCTGGCCGGGGAGGCCTCATCGTGTCAACGCGAAAAGCATGGTCGTGACTGCCCGGGCCTTAACCAAAATGCTTGGTACCACCGGAAGGAAACCGTATAGCTCCACCTTACAACAGCCAAAGGGAAGCCATAGGAGTAGCCTGCACATCTTAAGCACGGTGGAAGTAAGCTCGATCCGATATGGAAGCAAGCCAGCTGGTCGCAGCTCGCTGTCTATGTCTACCGAAAGGTCTTGTTTTGCCTTTTTAGCCCTGTGTCTTGTACAAAACTAGCACCGTGCATCGTCTCAGCTTTGCACGGCTTTTCCAGCTTTGGCGCAGATGAAATCCGCCCGCTGCCTGTGAGCCACCAATCTTTCGCTATGATTTAATCATGCCGATTCAGCCAACAGCATCAATAGTTATTATACTCAATGCACAGGCCGCGGTGCAACATTGAAGGAGTCAACACTGGGGCACTGCAGGAACTACTTTGGACGAGCAAGACATGATCTGATTGATTTAGCATGCAAACAGTGACAATCCACGGGCCACTTCAATCCCTCAGATCTTGACGAGCTTGCCACGCACCCAATCAGCGAGTTTCAACAATGCGCACCGTCGACATAAGGCTTGGGACGCAGCTACTTGTTGCATGCCATGAATGTCTTTTCTGAGAAGTTGGTCCTTGCGTGTACCCTGCCTTTGCCGCCGTCGACTCCTCTCCCCAACTCACTGACTGCTTGAAGCTCGAAGCGGCATGTCGCACACCAGGCCAGTGGATTGACTCACAAGGACAACCCGCAGCCCCGAACTTGTGCAGCTCCTGCTTGTTTCGCAGCGTGAGCACGCCGCAAGTGGTCATCCACCCTGCAAGCTCGGCCATCAATTTCAATACAATTCCCATGCTTGGGCACGGTTCGACCAAAGCTGGGATGCCGGCCACCTGCGCCAGCCTGAGTCATGGCCATACTCACAACTTACAACACCGCCCTCACTGCCCTCAGACACGCCCAAGCACAAGGGCGGCTGCCAAGAGTGGAGATTAGTATGCCGAATTCCAACATAGGGCAAGCCCACATGCTTCAGGCTGCGGCAGGCACGGCAAAGCCAGCCAAAGTCATTTTCAGCACCAGTCCGCGCCTGAGCCCGAATGCCAATTCCAGCTCTACGACTCTACAAGGACAAATGAGCTGAGGACGCCATCTTGTGGGTCTGTGAAGATCATGCCACAATCCCCGCATCGCCAGTATCCATCCACGCCTGGACGTCTCGTCATGCCAAAATTCTGGATGGAAAACACATGCCGCCCGGCCTGAAGGCGCCTGTCCCTCACTCCAGGAGAATACTGCGCTTGAAGGTTCCTCCTAATCGGGCAAAACTGCACCCAAAGAGACCAGCCTGCGCCGACCGCTCCTGTGGTGCCTCCTTGACCGGAGTTTCCGTCGCTGCCTCGGCCTCGGCCTGGCCATCGCAACCGCATGTCCCAGAGCAAAGGAATGCAGATCATGCCCTCCACTTTGACAAGCAGAACAAATATTCGAAGCATAGCATCTTACTCACTTGGACTGTGCCTTCGCTGCCTGGGCGCCGGTCCAGGGGAAGGGCCTCGAATCGCGTGCCCGCCTGAAATGCAACTCGGTTCTCGTTTTCGTCGCCCATTCAGCCCGTTTCGCCCTTCTCCTTCCTTACCGCTTGCCAGCTGGCTGCTTGCTGCTTGCTGCTTGCTGACGATGCCCGTTCCACAACACATTGTAACATGACTTGCCTGGGCATACTCCTCAACTGCCAGCACCCTGAATGCTCATGAATTATCCACCAAGAAGGGGGGGTGCATTTTTTGGCGGGACCTTTTGGGATGGGTTTGATCGGAAACCAAGGGAAAATGCGGGGTTGTCTATTTGATATTTGACATACACACAGAAATATATCCTAGACGCTACACTTCCCACATCACAAATGTCCGTAGCCCTAGGTGAATCATGTGATCAGTCCGCAGTTGTAGGTGCCGCACTTCCGTTGAAATGGCACTGCGGTACCTGATAGTGCCACGAAAGGGGAAAGGCAAGCTATAAACAAATACCCAGCATTACATCATCTCTGCAAATTTGGCTTGCTTCCGCAAGCTCCAAGGGTGCAGTGCTCGTGCCACATTAAACCAGTTGACTCTGTGAGTCTGAGACAGGGGCCGAACTTACGATCCTTCATCTGCTGCTCCTAAAGCTCAGAGGGCGGAGATCCCTCCGTGCTAAAAAAAATATACGTGTTACCTACTGGCCCTTGGCTTTGACCTTCAATTGGAATATGCTGGTTTGGGTCAACATTAAAACCACCACACCAGGAATTGGACCCCAGGTTTTAGTCCACGTTTCCATTTACCGGGGCAAGCCAGTTTGGGTACCTAATTATTTTTCACCCAGACCCATGTGGTTGTGACTTTTGATGCTCTTTGAGCTCGGGATGTGGGGAAATGCATCATGATACATCCTCGCATCCTTCCCCCAACGGATGGTCCTGAGGGGCCTCCGCCGTCACGAAGCCGGGCCTAATGGCAACCCCAGGAAACGAAGTTGTCATGGCAAAAATGCTCAAGAGGAATACTGTTGGTAAGCATCTACCTTTATTTTGTTTGGACACGCTATCATAGAGGCAGGCCCTCCCCGAGGAGACGTCCCCTTGACAGCGCCTTTTTTTGCTGGCATTTTTTGCGTGGTCTAATGTGTAATTGCTGGTATGCTTGCTAGAATGTGGTGGTACTTGATAGAGTTGTCGCCCTGGTAGTTGTTCTGCGTTGATATGTTGGTATCAGTGCAGCCTTCCTCTTGCTCATAGTAGAGCTGAGAGGCGCAATTGCTCAACACCAGCCCGCTGAGCACGGCAAGACGAGAAAAGCAAACAAACCAGAAGTGTGCTTAAGTATCCTCCAGATTTTTTGGGGCTGTAAGCTGCCATCTGCCGAGCTGTGAGGGGAGACAAAACATAAGCCCCGCGCTGGGCTTGTGGGAACCATTTGTAGTTCCGGACCTCCTCTCCTGTCACAACATCTGGCACGCATTTGCCGAACAAATTGGACCTCATCACGTGCAGCGTGCTATGTGCGCTGAGACACGGTGCCATGGAACGCTCTACGGACATACCAAATCTTAGCAAACCACAACTTCTGTGAACGAGGACGAGCTGTCTTCAATCTTGAGAAGTGTGCTGCGGCCACTGGTGCCAAAGAACAAATGTTTGCAGGAACCAGAACATGCAAAACAAAACTTCTTCCTGAATGCTAGTCTGTCTCAAACATCTCTGCTGCAGCTTCAGGGAATCAACTTCCTGTTGTGTTTCATCATGTGGAGCCTGAGCGTATGGCAAGGTTGCCACTGGTTGCTGTATTCCACAGGAGGCCTTGTTCGGATATTCGGATTTTTGGCCCCCGGTCTCCTCCCAGGCCGCTCGCCACTTTGGCCGCGAGAAACTTGCCGGGCACCTGGGGCGAGCTCTGGCTGAGTTGACTGCCCTTGGGGCCCTTAAAACCCCTTGGCTCAAATTCCTTCGCTTACAACGCAAGTAAGAAACTGAGCCGGGAGCAAGCAGAATGAACAATCCCGACCACATTTGGTAAAGGCCCAGGCCCACAATCCGCTCTTCAGGTCTTTGTTGAAGTGCTCAGCCTGTGCCACAGTCTTATGGCCGATTGTAAGTCCTACTATGTATGTATGCATGTGTGCATATACGCACAAGCTTTTGTTGGAGGGTTGCAACGTGCGACACGGTGCCAATCTTGTTGTGGAGGTATGCGACGGGCTTCCTTGCTGCATAGGTGACGGGAAAGAAGTGCTTGACGAGCACCAGGCAAGGTAGCGTAGAACAAAGTGCACTTCCACAACTCCAGCTCGAAAGTCGCAATTATTCAATGCAAGCCAGGCGACGGCAAAAACCGAGTTGCGCTGGCCTGGGTTTGGGGGGGGGGGGGGGATGCGGCGTAGTATGTAGCAACTACGTAACAAGGTATATAACGAGGCGCCCCTCCTTGCTACCTGTCCCAGCTTCTTCTGAATGGCCAGCTCTCTTCAAGTTGACTCTTCTCAGGTACGTCCAGCAAAAAACATGCCCTGCAGAAGTCAGGCCTGCAGGCACCCATTGGAAATCACTCAGAGTCTGGGTATGCATCGAATAATGCAAAGAGGGGCATGCGACCAGCCAGGCAGTTTGTTAACGTGAGGTGGGGAACGAAGGTATGCAACGAGCGGTATGAAACGAAACAGCTTGCTACACAGGGTATGTAAGGCATATGTGCATACATATCATGTGTATGTATACAGCTGTGAACATGTATATATAAATATGTGTAATGTGTATATAAATGATATATATATATACCTTTCTGCATGTGTGCACATCCCCGTCAGAGGCTCCAGACAAGGTTGACCCCCCCCCACCCCCATTTTAGCAAATAAAATAGGGTTGGTCTATCCTTATTGAAATAGTCCAACTTTGACAGAAAACAACATGACAAATCACGATTTATGTTGACCTGATTTCGGGGGGTTTGGATTGAACAGTCCAAGTTGGACACAACGTATTTCATGTTATTTTTGGATGAAAATAAAGTCAAGGGGGTCCAACTCTTCCTGGGGAAGAAGCGGGTTGCCTCAGGTTAATTTGAAGTGAGTTCAGTCCAACTTTGAAGGGTATTTCAAAGAGGCCAACATGAGTTCTAATGGAAAACGGGGGTTGGAACAAAATGAAATAGATGACTTATTTTCGGATCCGACCCACCCCAACTTTATTTTGAGCCTGCAACGGGGGTCCTGCACAAATGGATGTCATCAGGCCCAGAAAATACAGCTTTGCCAGCTATTTGAGGCACATAAATGCTCCCAACTAGCCGGGTGGTTCCGACTGAACTCATCAGCCCACTCAGCACAGCGCCGCTTGGAGCAGCTCTTGCCTCGTGCGGGCTGAAGGCAAAAAGGAATGCTGGGTTCACCAGGCACCCGGGCGTCAGGGCGTGACGACGAGGGTCAGACAAAGCTTTACAAAGCTCTTGCCTCATGCAGCAAAACGAATCAGCCTTCAAGCCCGGCCAGCTCCAAAAATAAAAAACCACCACCCGTCAAACACATGAACAAAAAGGGTACGTTCCGCAAGCAAACCCAATACAGGAAAGAAGTGACTCTTGGCTGAGCTCCTTCCATGACAAGCGAGCTTTGCGTGCTCTGAGCGCAAAGTATCAAGGCTTGGGCGCGCGTTTTGCTGCCGCGCATGCTTCTTCTTCGCAGTCTGCCTTGCAAACGCTGGCGTCCGGAAAACGGCTATTGGAATGGCGGTTGGCCTCCAAGTGCGCAACTGTGAGCTGAAGAAGGGAATCAGCCTGACATAGCGCCGCTGTGAATTTCAATTTCGGCACCAAAGGGCGCCGTACCCACAAAGTTGAAGAGTCGACAGAAAAATGCAGCTGTTGCCAAACCCGCACCTCGGCTGAGCGATCTCCCAGCTCTCGGAACATACTGCAGGACCTAATTGAGCAGCAAAGGAAAAGCGTGGCTTTTCAGGTTGAAAAGGGACCACTTGACGTTGCGCAAGCCGCTGCCGAGCACAGCAAACACTGCCTGCATCTAATCTAGGATTGCAGCTCCTGAGCCGCCTTGGTTGCACAATTGAGCAAATGGCAATGACCTCAACATGCCGAAGCTTGCAGAAACAAAGGCACACTGGCATTCCAAGTAGGCAATAAGCCTCGGACTGTCGCTGCCTGATGCGGTGACCTCAAATTCCAGACAGAAATCCAAAAACGGCATCGGCGTGGCATCCAAGCAATTCTAGTTACTTGATGCATATGAAGTGCTGAGTAGCCGACCTCTTGTGGAGGTGCGCAGCTGCAAGCCTGCCAGCAAACGAGCAAATCTGGTTCATGTGCGTCACAAATTGTCAACAGTTGTCGTGTATTATCTATGGGCGGCATATCGCTTTGACATGCTACTAGTAGTTTGACTGCGACATGCAACTCTGTCAGCAAACTTGCAAACTTCAAGTTGGTATTGTCTCGAGCAATACTTCAAAAACTCCGAATCTAGGCGCACGGCGTGCGCAATGCAGAGGCAAGGCCAGCCATATCGCCACCTTCTCGAAATGCCTTGCGTGGTTTCGCCGCAAGAAACAAACAAGCAAACAAACAAAGAAATTCGCCTCGGCCCCAAAGGGGCCAAGGGCGCTCAGATCTCTTCTCCAAACAGAATCTTCGCTTTTCCCCTCCCCCAACCCCTCTTAAATTTTGCCGGGCCGCCCCCCCCCCCCCCCCCACCCATGTCGGCTGGACCCAAAATCCTGTCCGGCGGGCCTTGAAATTTTCGGGGTTCGTCGGCGTCCAGCTCCATGGGTGCATTTTTGTCGAAAATCACTAAAAAATTGCTTTTTTGTCCTGAAAAACATGACCTCCTGGTGGCCAGGCCTGCCTGACGTGTCTGAGACTAGGCTCAGGCCCAGCCCAACCAGCAACCCGCCTGCTGGCCAGGCCTGTCAGCCCAGCCCACCCAGCCTCAGGCCCAAGCTTGTCTGAAACAGGCCTACCCCAAGTCATCCAGCAAGCCCAGCGCAGCGCCCAGCCCAGGCCCCGGCGCATCTCTAGGCCGGCCCCAAGGTCAGGTTTGTCTAACGTGTCTGAGACTGGCCTCAGGCCAACGACCAGTCTCACGTGTCTGAAACTGGTCTCAAGCTATGCCAGCCACCAAGCCCGTCTGACGTGCCCCAGCCCCTCAGTCCGGCTGCCCAAGCAACTCAGCCCAGGCTGGCCAGGCCTTGACCTCCTGCTCGCGTCTGGCCCAAAGTATGCCAGCCTGAGACTAGCCTCAGGCCCAGTCCTTCAGCCCGCCTGCTGGCGTGTCTTACGTGTCTGCGACTGGCCCAGCCCAGCCAACTCGCCACTCCAAGTGTGTATGAAACAGGCCTTGCCCATCCAGCAACCCGCCCAAGCACAGCTCAACCCAGCCCGCCCAGCCCAAGTTCCAGGCACAACCAGCAGCCTGGTCCGGCTGCCCGGCAGGTAGCAACTTGCCCATGGCTTCGCAGCCTCGTGGCTGAGACTAGCTTCAGGCCCAGCCCAAAGCCTGGGCCCCAGCGCATCTCAGGGCGGCCCCCAGCTCCCAGCCGACCAGCAGGCTCAGCCCAGTGTGCCAAGGTCAGGTTTGTCTAACGTGTCTCAGAGTGGCCAACGACAGCCTCAGGTTCAGTCCCTCAGCCCGCCTGCTGGCGTGTCTTACGTGTCTGCGACTGGCCTCAGGCCCAGCCTAGCCAGCAACTCGCTACCCAGCCTCAGCCCATCCAGCGACCCGCCCAAGCACAGCTCAGCCCAGCCAGCCGAAGTTCCAGGCGCAACCAACACCATAATCCAGCTGCCCAGCACCACCCATGGCTTCGCAGCCTCGTGGCTGAGACTAGCTTCAGGCCCAGCCCAACCAGCAACCCGCCTAAGCCAACCCCACCCAAGCCCACCCGGTTTGAGACTCGCAGGCCTCAGCCTATCTAGCGCCGAGACTGGGCCTCACCAGCCTGGGCTCAACTAGCGTCTAGCCCAGCCCAGTCCGCCTGGCAGGCCTGTCTGACGTGTCTGAAACTGGCCTCAGGCCCAGCCCAGCCATAGCCCAGCCCCCTCAGTGCGGCTGCCCAGCCCGCCGTAAACTAGCTTCAGCTCAACCAACAACCCACGCAAGCAAGGTCCAGCCAAGCTGCCCGAGACTAGCTTCAGGCCCAGCGCAGGCTTATCTGATGTGTCTGAGACTAGCCTGTGGCCCAGCCCAACCAGGCGAGGCCGGCTTGTCTGACTTGTCTGGAGCCAGCTTCAGGTATTCGGACCTTCCCAACACTGGATTTCGGTGTTCCTGACCCTTCCCTCAAACTAGGCTGGCCGAGGCGGGCAACGCGAAGCGTTTACAATAAACAATGCACAGCAGCCCTATGTATGACTTTTCCTTGCTTGCTGACTCGGCCTCCACAGCAAGCGTTGCAGCCTGTATGCAGTCCACCGGCAAGCCCCGGAGAACCTGCGGAGTTCTACTTACCCACTGACGGGCGCCATGGCTCTGGTCTAGATCCTGCAATTGCCTAGCCTACAAAACCTATGCAACGAAAGCACGGCTGTTCAAAGTTGAAGACTGCAATGAAACATCTGAAATGAAGCGCGACTCCGAGCACGTTTTTCCTGACTCAGGTGCCGCTTTGGCAGCTGCATTTCATGGAGAACATCCCGAAGCCTGGTCAAGGGAAAAGCTAAGTCTTGACGCGTGCAAGCCCGATATCCGAGTACGAGGCCAGAAGTGCCAAACAGGCCAACTTGTCCTTAGAGCATGCTGCCGCACACAATGGTGAGCCACATGGGGCTGAAATCTGAGTGAGGCTCCAGTACCATTGCAGGCACTGCACTTTTGCTTGCAACGTCGCTCGGCTTCCGCAATGACCTGCAAAGAGGTGCCACAATGCTCAGCACAACTATGGGATGATGATGGATCATGAATGAACTCACAACCAACCCTCTCGCGAATGAGCCCCGTACCTGCATGGCATCAAGCATAACTTCTCGCCCGGATTCATCTTGTTCAACCAGGCCCAAGCCTGGCCAAGGGCAGGTTGCACGTACGTAAGAGACAGTGCCGTGGCTCCGCCTCCCAAGCTGCCTGTGCCATCGTAGGAGTCTCCCCGCTGAACACTTTGCACGCTACTCAGCACGTCTGCCATGCTCTCCAGTGTGTCCAGGTCATCGAAAATTGACGCTGCCTCGCTTGCGAATGTGCAAGCAAAGGCTGCTGGCCAAACATGGCACTATTCATGGCGCTTGTGCCAATGATCTTTCGGGACAATTCTTGGCATTCAGTTTGCTCTTGACCTCGTCGAGTGGCTCGGGGAACGCTGAGGCGATAGGGCTGGAACTTCTTTGGCTCCGCTTCCCTTGCCCCCACGCCGAAAGGCTCAGGCGGCTCGCCGGGCGGCTCGCCGGGCGGCTCGCCAAACTCGGCTTGGCTTGGGGCCCTTGGCACTCTGAAGGCATCGTCCATGCCGGGGCCATCGGGGCCATCGTCCCGGTGGCTGACCTGGCCCAGTGGCAGGGAGTCTTCGCCGCCTGTCCTGAGCGCGGCGAGGGGAGTCAAGAACAAATGTACGGCAGAATGTCTCAGAATGAGTTGAAGCTGCAATCGGCCAACCCAGGCAGGCCTGGGAAGGGAAGATCGGAACAAGTGTGCCAATCGAGCCAAGGAATCGTCGTCGAAATCCTAAGGTGCAGGACATCCGACCGTTTTCTTCAGCACAACCAAACCTTCTGCTTTGGGGAAGCAATTTTAAAAGGCCCTCCAGAACCATCCGATGCTCAGTCGTCCGCCAAGCCTTTTGAGCTGAGGGGCTGAGAAATTGGCCTCAGAGCTCCACTTGGAGTCAGATGGAGACGATGGGCTCCGCTCCTTTGAGCAAGATCAAACTGGAAGCAAAACAACGCCCCCCCATGACCTGTCTCTGCTTTTTTGCTTCTAGCGACCCAAGCTACACTGCATGGCACTCATTCCATAGCAGCGACACCCGAATAAAACTATGTCTGCATAGAGATGTATAGCAATATATCATTTTTATATACAAGATGCACCCCCGCCCAAACCCGCGCCTGCTGCTTATGTAAGGGGGTCAAGTCATTTTGGACAGACATTTTTTAGATGCGGGCTCATTTCACGATTTTGGCAGTTGCAGAGTCATTAAGACTTTTGCCACCCATATAAATAGCATTTGCCCTTCTACGTTCTGAACACATTGTCTGTGGTTCCTCCTCTTGATCTTTTTGCAGTCATTACACACATACCCGGGTCATAAACTCAATCTATTTCAACGCAAGTTAATTGGAAAACCAGCATCAAAAGCAACAAGTTAGGTAACGTGTCATAATACACAGGGTCTAGACCATAATATGTCGTCTCCGAAGTTTTCCAAAATGTCAGCCAAGCAAACCAATCTGCTGTCAACTAGAAAGCGTGATGTTCTCTCAATGTGTCCGGGTTAATTTTGCTTTGGCATAGTCTTCATCGCTAATGTTATCCTCGCTCAATTCACTGAAAAAACATATCTTCTATCGTACCGGCGCAAGTGTGTTAAACAAAAAGGCCAACAAAACCTCTCCTGCTTCGCCTACACATCTTCGATTTCTCATCTGAACTGATGTGCAAATCCTCTTCGCCTGTCAACTTACAAACCTGTGGCAATACCCAAAAATCTGCTGCGCATCCTCATCTCTCATCTCAACTCATCTGCACACCCCTTCGTCGGTCAGCTCACAAACCTTGGCCAATACCAACACGTCTGCTCTCACCTCATATGCCCGGACCAATGCCACGGGTGGGCAAAAGGACAAACTTCCCTGAAAAATATTTGGCTAAACAGCATGAAACACGCTGCTACCTACATTACCAACCTTCTCCAATGTCCACATGCTAAACTATCAACTGTATTGACCGCACACGTCCAAAAGGATAAGGTGCACACCCAAACAGGAATGCCTCAAAGAGACGCTTTAAAGCGCTCTTTATCTAAGCTCCAAGATTCCCAGGACTCTAGATCTTGAATCTTGAGCCCAGTATCGGGCCGCCAACACGCTTTAATCATAATATATATAATATATATATATATGTATATATACATTCTACACAATGGCGCGTACGTATCAAATGCCTATGCAGCTCGCGTCGGTCAATGGGAACAATTTGCAAAACACGAAGGCAGCCAAGTGCCGCCGGGCTCTGCTCCGGCTGGGCGGCGGTTTCCTGCGGCTGTGCTTGCAAAGAATTGGAAGTCAGCATGAAGGAGGACACAGCTGTGAAGCAAACAGCACCCGACCAGCTTGCTATAGCTTGCTCTGCTTGCGGGATATGCTACCAGTACGGGAGGCAGCAGCTGCCAACACCAGGATGATAATCTAAAGCCCTTGCTTGTCCAGGGTGGCAACTAAAGACATGAACTTGACACAGCAACAAGCAAGGCAGTCACCAAGGATTCGGAACGAAGTAAGGGCACAGGTGACCAGAATACATTGTCGTGCTTGTGCCCGGGTTTGCTGGTATGCAAGATGCAAACGGCGGCTGGCATCTGTTGGGATGTCCCCATCCCACAAGTCAAGCCTGAAGCCCAAATCCAAGCTGCCAATCCTAAACCCTAAAGCCATATCTCGCCTGTGATGCTGTTCTGTCCTGCCAACATGGTCCTTGCCCGATGGCTGTTCGCATGGATCCATCACCCTACCCTGGAACAGTCTCAACATACAAACAATAAATCGATCTTCAAGCGGAAAGCTGGCAAATCACCCGTCTGCTTCTGCCTTCTCCATCACAGCTGGCTCCTGGTTGCCCGGGCTTTGTTCCGGCTGCGCGGCGGTTTCCTGCAGCTGTGCTTCCAAAGAGTTGGATGACAGCATGAAAGAGGACACAGCTGTTAGTTGCGGTTCCCGAAGGAGCCCGACCAGCTTGCTATAGCTTGCTCACGATAATCTGAAGACTCCAACTAAAGACATGAACTTGACACAGCAACAAGCAAGGCAGTCACCAAGGTTTCCAGAACGAAAGCCAGAGCGATTGGATGTCATTGGATACGATTGGACATCAGTAATGACTCAGGTGACCAGAAGATCTTGTCGCTTGTGCCCGGATTTGCTGCTGTACAAGATGCAAACGGCACCTGGCATCTGTTGGGATGTCCTCATCCCCCAAGCTGCCAATCCCAAACCCTAAAGCCATATCTCGCACACGAGGTTGTTGCGCGATGGCTGTTTGCATGGAGCCATCACCCTGGAACAGCCCCAACATACAAACAAGAAACAGATCTTCAAGCGGAAAGCCAGCGAGTCACCCATCTGCTTCTGCCTTCTCCATCACAGCTGGCCCCCGGTTGCCCGGGCTTTGTTCCGGCTGCACGGCGGTTTCCTGCAGCTGTGCTTCCAAAGAAATGAATGTCAGCATGAAAGAGGACACAGCTGTTAGTTGCGGCGAAGGCTTGCCTCTGCTTGTGGAATTCGCTACAGGTACAAGAAACATCAGCTGCCAACACCAGAATGATAATCTGAAGACCTTGCCTGTCCAGGGCTCCAACTAAAGACATGAACTTGACGCAGCAACAAGCAAGGCAATCACCAAGGTTTCCAGAACGAAAGCCAGAGCGATTGGATGTCATTGGATACGATTGGACATCAGTAATGACTCAGGTGACCAGAAGATCTTGTCGCTTGTGCCCGGATTTGCTGCTGTACAAGATGCAAACGGCACCTGGCATCTGTTGGGATGTCCTCATCCCCCAAGCTGCCAATCCCAAACCCTAAAGCCATATCTCGCACACGAGGTTGTTGCGCGATGGCTGCTTGCATGGAGCCATCACCCTGGAACAGCCCCAACATACAAACAAGAAACAGATCTTCAAGCGGAAAGCCGGCGAGTCACCCATCTGCTTCTGCCTTCTCCATCACAGCTGGCTCCCGGTTGCCCAGGCTTTGTTCCGGCTGCGCGGCGGTTTCCTGCAGCTGTGCTTCCAAAGAATTGGATGACAGCATGAAAGAGGAAACAGCTGTTAGTTACGGCGAAGGCTTGCCTCTGCTTGTGGGATACGCTATCAGCACGGGAGGCATCAGCAGGGCTCCAACTAAAGACATGAACTTGACGCAGCAACAAGCAAGGCAGTCACCAAGGTTTCCGGAACGAAAGCCAGAGCGATTGGATGTCATTGGAAGCTGCAGATTGGACATCAGTAATGGCTCAGGTGACCAGAAGATCTTGTCGCTTGTTCCCAGATTTGCTGCTGTACAAGATGCAAAACCTGGCTGTTGGGATGTCCTCATCCCACAATTCAAGCCTGAAGCCCAAATCCAAGCTGCCAATCCTAAACCCTAAAGCCATGTCTCGCACGTGAGGTTGTTGCGCGATGGCTGTTCTCATGGAGCCATCACCCTGGAACAGCCCCAACATACAAACAAGAAACCGATCTTCAAGCGGAAAGCCGGCGAATCACCCATCTGCTTCTGCCTTCTCCATCACAGCTGGCCCCCGGTTGCCCGGGCTTTGTTCCGGCTGCGCGGCGGTTTCCTGCAGCTGTGCTTCCAAAGAACTGAAAGAGGACACAGCTGTTAGTTGCGGCGAAGGCTTGCCTCTACTTGTGGGATACGCTACAGGTACAAGAAACATCAGCTGCCAACACCAGAATGATAATCTGAAGACTTTGCTTGTCCAGGGCTCCAACTAAAGAAGACATGAACTTGACTAACAAGCAAGGCAGTCGCCAAGGTTTCGGAACGAAAGCCAGGGCGATTGGATCCTTGTCTTGCTTGTACCCGAATTGTTTTCCTTTGTGTGTCGCATGTTTAGGCTGGCAACGGTGGGTCTCCCCTGTTTAAGCTTTTGCCACTACAAGTTTATCGTTGTGTTGCTTGCCGACCATCTAAGCGGTAAAATATATCTCAGTGATAAATTCATGGCTGCATTCCAAGCGAGCATTAGCTCATGGAGATCAACTCACACCAAACAGCACACTATTCCCATCAAACTTGCTGCTTTGCGGCCACCATCTGAACTCATGTCGAGTAATGTTGGATGCAAGAAGCAGGTGGAAGCACCATGCCAAAGCACACAAGGAGATACGATTGCAAGCTTCCATCGAGTGTCACTCACTGATGAGTAGCGTGAAACAGCAGGCGGAACCCTTGCGTACAGAAAGCACTGAACGACATGCGATGGGCCGCTAGTCAAATCGCGCTTGCCCGCTGTGCGCCTTTGAGTCCGCCACTCTTCTTTGCTCAGCGTTTGACACGGAGCCTGCGGTGCGTTCATTCCAAAATCCCAGCATTCAACCTACTGGCACGGACTTTGATGATTACCTAGCAAAACCCGAAAGGTTCCGGCAATGAGCTGCATGCTCTGGAAATCTTTCTGCCGTATCCTCAAGTTTTGCAAAGCAGATCTATCTGCCCCGCTTGAAGTGGCGCAAGAACAGGCTGAGAGGTTTTATCAGCCTAAAAAAAACAAACTTGTGGGCATGTCGCTTCAGCATGGGTGGTTGCATGCGCATCTGAAAATCCAGAAGGTGACGCAGGCATGAAAAACGTCTGTTCAGCAGCAGAAGCAGCAGCAGCAGCAGCAGCAGCAGCAGCAGCAGCAGCCGGCAGCAGCAGCAGCAGCAGCCGGAAGCCGGCTGCTGCGGCTGCAAGCAACCGGCAAACCACACGTAAGAATTCAACCAAGCATGGGTCACAAATGTAACATAGAACTTGACTTTCAAAGTACGACGCAATAACTCGAGCTTCATGAATGCGCACCCGACAGTCAGGGCAGCATAACGTGACCGAGAATTGACCCACAAATGCGTCCTTTCAATCATGGGTCAGCAATCTCCTGACCAGCCTTGAGCCAGAATTTGACACATGCCACATGCCCGATGCCCCTGCCTGCAGGGGCAGGAACGCGCAGGCTGTTCCGTGTTGGCGAGCCTTTCGGCGTGATGGTGATGATATGGTGATGTATGCATGCATGCAGGGTGAAACGCCATGATGCCAACTCCTTATGGATTCCCCGCGTGCCGTTATTCCATCACCCATCCTCCGGATTGAAGTGAATGGATGAAGTCGCCCAAGCCAGTCGCCACCCTGCCGCGGCCTCTCAACTGGCATCCGCTGATGGTGCGAATGGCCGCCATAAGCAAACTGAGCCAACACAAACAGGTACGGAGGTATGTTAAGTGTGCCCTGATCAACGCAGAAACAAAAAACACATCCAAGACAGGCAGTTTGCGCCAGCGTAGTGACATCCCTAGTAAAGGCGTCGATCTGAGATGCTGGCGGGGTGAGCTTTGTGGCGATTTCTCTTCATGAACTTGCGGCGTGCTTTGTACTCCAGCTGCTGGCGCGCTGGTGGAGTATCTCAGGTCCACAGCAGCCTGCGGCATGTGCAAGGCGGTTAGGGTGAGGCAACCAAAGCGCCGGAGGCTTGACCATTGATGCCTCTGCAACCATCCCCAAATCTAAGCGCCCAGCTGGCAAAGACACCGGCGATGCCCATAGAAACTCAGCGCCATCATCCAGCCCAGGAAGCAGGATAGCACGAACACCGAAGACATAGTGACCTCAAGGCGTCCGGCGTCCACACGCGGGGCACGGATGCAAAGCATCCCAGTTCCATTGCCTCAGCTTCCGACTGCCCAGAGGGACATCGGTTTTGAAGGGCGGACTCCTGCACCGCCACCTTTCCGATCCCGGATAGCGCATCCCCAATCGCCGATTCGAGCGAGCCGGCCGCCTGGTGGACGCTGGCCTTGAGATCCTTGCAGCGAAAGCGCCGAAGGCAGCTGGGGGATTTGGGCCTTTGAGAAAGGCGCACATGGTCCATCGTGTGGATTTCCCAATCCAGGAACATTAGAAGCTTGCATATGTGCTTAGCGGTTCGCAGGTGCTGAAACCAAGGCTCATATCCGTGGGCGACAACACTGTGCCGTCGCGGCTGTTGAACTGCAAGATCTCAAATGCTGGCGTCGCATCAGCGAAACCTCGACGCCTGCATTGGCTCCGATGATGCTTGCTGCAGCTTGTGGCAGATGGCATCTGGGCTCCAGGCACTTCCGCCCAGTCAAAAAGCCAGGAGATCCAAATCGTGCCCTTGCAGAAAGAGAGGATCTGTGCCAGAACGCCGGAAGGTGGCGCAACTTCGCAAACCTGACCGGTCCTCACATGCAGAAATTCCCAGCACGATGTGTCCATTCAACAGTTTTGCATTGATGCAAAACGCTCGGAATTTAATATTCTGCTTCTCTCAATGATTGCATCCACTAGCGTGGTATCATATTGTCATCTGGGGACTCATGGGGGTGAAATTTTGGGAGGGTGGGGAGAAGGAAGCGCTGGGGCGCGCGCAGTGGGTGTCCGGGTGCATCTCCAGCTCCCGTGGCGGCTCCGCACTCGGGAGCTGGAGGCTCCTCCTACACCAAGTGGATCGGCAGTGGGTACAGACGATTTGATGGGTGGGCGGCGCTTTTGGGCTATCGCCAGCATTGCTCTTGACAAAATGGATTGATGGATTTGCATCGGAAATGCACAGGGAAGACGATCCTCGCGGGAAGGTCTTGGTGGGGGGTCATTTTTGGGAACGTCTTGCAAAAGTGGCAAACAATGACACCAGGTAAAACAGGCTCATTTTTTGACAAGCCCCCATAAGACACTTAAGCACTGGCAAGCGGTCAGAGCGACTTTGACTTGCCGACATGGCATGAGCTAGAGCCAACTTGTCTAAACTTCTGTCCTTCTTCTCGGTCTCATCCTCTGCTTGAACACTGGTGCCCGCCTCAGGAATTGAAGAGAAATTGCTCTTTTTGAGGGGCAGGGAAACAGATTCAAGGCAGATTGCTGGGAACATGCACCCGCGGTGCACACTCGCAAAGCTCGATTTCCCGTGACCGCTACCCCAGGAGTGGAAGTTGACTAAGTTGGCCCTGACTGGCCAAACAGGGGCACATAATTGAGGGGCAAGCACATGCAGCACGCTGAAATGTGCATGTATGGGTCTTTCTTTTCTTGTTTGTAGCCTTTTTGGGGTCGGCTTACAGGGAACCAAAGGAAAACCAACCATTTGGGGGCCATCTGTCTACACAAATTGGTCAGCGCCACTCGCCTTCCATGTCAGTCTGAGGTGCAGCGGGCTCGGGCGCCGTTGGCTCTGGCGCCAGCTCTGGCTCGGGGATGGGCTCATTCGCCTTGTTCGCCTCCATTTCCGCCTTCCGCTCCAGCCTGCGGAATGCCAAAAAATGATTCTTGATATTCGCACATGCTGCAGTCTCAAGTCATCTCCAGGTCACAGCAGATCTGGCCTTCGCCTCCTCGTAGCGCTTTGTCGGTAGTCCCGATCGCAGGGGCTGGCATCCTAGTGTGGTCGCATTAAAGCAGAAGCCCCTGACAGGTGCTACAAACACGCTGAGCTGTTGCAGGTGTTCGGAATCCTGAAAGCCATCAGGGAAAACATAGGCTCCGCGCCACGACATATGGCAACCCATACACACAAACATGCATGATCCAAGGCTTTGGCCCACCACAAGCACTCAGTGCAGCTGTGCCGCTGGTTTAGGCGCTGGCAATAGCTCCCTGACACGGGAAAGCGAGGGTGAGAAACTAATGGAACCTAGTAACCTAGCTGTTGTCCAGCAGCTGGCGTCTGCGGGCACGGTTGGGTGCGTCCGGTCTGGGTTGGGCTTGACCTATCGATGAAACTACTCCTCCACATGGCGAGACTGAGTGAAGTATTGATCTAACCCTGCAAACCTGTTCAAACCACTTTGTTTCCCTGCGAAGGGTGCCAGCGATGGTCCCCTGCCAACCTTGCCCCTTGACCCACGAGCGTCTCCCGCCTGAGATTTGCCAGGGCCTTGAGCATGTCATGCAGGGAGCTGCTGGCAGGCTCTGCAAACCAAAGCCGCAGGCTTGCTGTGGCCTGCGGTGAGCTGCCTTCTGATTGTTAGAAGATCCAATCACTCCAGATCAGCATGCAATGGAATGCTGGGTGAACCAAGCAAGCTGTGCAGCTCGGGCGTGGCAGGAAGAACAAGCGCAAAGCATGGCTGGCTCTGTTTGCCTGAAACAAGCACCCGCCTCGTCTATCTCATCTAGCTTGCCCCTTGGTTGCCGAATGCTGTTGGAACAGCTTCTGCGTCACAGGGCTAGCGCCCGAGCTTTTTCCGTTCAACGACTCTCAATCGATTGCAGCGAGTGGAGCACTGCGATACTACTGCGATGCATCCGTGGCTTCCGGGGCGACTTGGCCGACTTCGACACATTCCATGGCATCAAGGCCTCCACGCGCCAAGCATTGAGCCACCAGAAGGCGTTGGGCTACAGCCATCTACAGCCTTGAGCAGCGGGGTTCATTGCAGCGCAGTGGGGCTTAAGCTCGGCCTCGAAGTGCATGCTGCAAGTCTGCCACGCAGAACTGCAGAAAGGAGGCGGCCACTTCGTCCATGAGAGACGCCTCACCTTCAGGCTGGATTGCTGGGCTTTTCCTAACACTCTCTCACCAACATGCAACAGCTATCATGCTTCTTCCTATAACAGCTCAACAAGTAAATCATATGCACAGCTTTCGAGAGTTGCGACTTTTTGGCGCAGGAATGTTGAGGTTCCATGTTGTCGCATGTGCACTCTGCTCACTCAGCGCTGCGAACAGCGCAGGGCTCGGAGCACCCCGCCGCATTCTCCCGGAGCACCTCGCGGCTTCGCCGCGAGCTCGGCCTTCTTGGCGCCCCAGCGCTTGGCCAACGTGGACTTCAGGGGGCCCAGCTCCTGCAGGCTTTGCCAGCTTCCCCCCCCGATGCTAAAGCAAACGCACAACTTGGGTAACTCGTGATCGGAGCTGTCTGGTGGACATGGCATGGTGAGATTCTGGCCGCGCAAGGGTGCTCAAAGGCAAAAAACACAATAGCGGCGCCATCCGGTTCCTCCCCCGTAGTTGGGACCACCCCGTACGCATCTGCCATTCATTACCCCTGCAAACAAACTTTGTAGGTGATCGAACAGTAATCTGCACTTTCTGCCTTCGTGGCAATGAACAATCATGATGGCTTCCCTGCCCCCAATATCACAAAAGCAACGCGCCCTCGTGAGTTTCCACTCCTTGGGCACTTCTGCCAATGCGCGGGTGACAACCTTCCGCAGCGCCACGTCGCATTGGTGGCTCTCACTCTGCACCTCTTCCGCTGGACCCTCCTCCTTAGCCCAGAAACCCCCAATGTTTACGGAGGCAAACTTCGTGGAAACATGACCAACGACCATGTACACAAACCAACTAATGAAAATCAGGTGAGCTTGTCAATCACAACATGTAAAAGCCAGGCGTTTCAGTTGCACTTTGGAGCAACAAAAATGCAGCTTCCAAATGCTGATGACCCTGGGGCCCTGGACATTCGTGCCAAGATTCCGCAGGCACAGGCTTCCAGAATGAATGCCAGTCTCTGATGCACTGGATCTGCATGCAAGTCTCCGCCTCATCGATGAGAAGGCTCACGGCATCCTGGCTCACAAGAAAATGTCTTTCCCGGAGACATTTGCAACGCGAGCGTTCTTCGACGGGACCAACCCTTGTCAGCCTGCTGCTTTTTTTTTTCCCATGCTATGCCCGTGCCAAGCTAACAGTTGATGCAGTTCAGCCCGCGTGTCCTGGGCTTCCCACGTGCCGCCGCCGCGAGCCGGCCATTCAAAGGCCTCGGCCATGTGCTCAATGGAGAACTTTGGCACCCGCGCAACGGGATCGCGGCGTTGGTTCCTTTCGAGGCAAATGTCCAGGGGAGCTTGCAGGAAGACCTGGTGATAGGCACAGCCTCTGTCGCGGCAGAGGTGGTACCAGCGCTTCCTCATGCTCCGGTAGTACATGTTGTCGTCAAGGACAATCACTATGCGGCCATCAGAGTTGTCCAGCAATGCTGCCACATCGCCAGAAATCTTTGCTCTGGCAGCCTGCCAGGTCTCAGGATCGAACTGGCTCTCATCTGTGCGTAGCGTGCGTTCCACCTCATCATAGCAGAAATGTATCCATCTGGAGGTTCCTTGCCAAGATTCCTCGCCCCCTCTGGCAACCAGCTCTTTGCAAAATGTACTTTTGCCGCAGCCGGGCAAACCGCAAACCAAAAGCAAGCAGCTTGCGGCCGGACCGCGCTCGGCCATCAAGGCCTATGAATCACTACTGCCTCCATATTAGCGTCTGGCTTTAGTTTTCAGATGTAGATGTTTGTATGCGTTTCTCTGCCGCCAACATTGGTAGAATTCCTGTCTCGCTTCAGCCTGCGGGCTCTGAAGCTGCTTGAACCCGCTTTCACCAGGCAGGTTTGAAGCTCTCAACTGCAGGGTCTGATCGGAGCACCGGGTGTGGACTCCATGAAAGACCACGCAGAGCAAATGGGGTACAGCATCTACACGGTATCTACACACACGAGTCAATCGCTCATGATGAGGCGCCTTGTTTGGGGATTCCTTATTTCCAAAATTTGAATTGCACAGTTGCCCACTCATCTTGGCTTCTTGGGATACCACAGCACCATTCGGGAATGAAGTTGTGGAACAATGCCTGTTGAGTCTCGCCCTAGCTAAGGCGACATGACTTGAGTGTTTGAGCCGGTATGCTTTGGGGTATGAGTTCTGGGCCTTTCCAAATGTAACACCTCAACATGCCAACGAAGATGGAACTAAGGTACTACATGGTACTACGGTACTAACATATTTAGGTAGTTACTGGGCCAAGTGACTTGGCCATGTTTGAGCCGGTAAGCACAACAAACTGCTGGAGCTTGCTGTTCTGCTGTAGTTTTGAACCTTGCGGCACATGATATGTGCAACTCGGAATTGAGTGTGGCACATGGCTCACCCATTGGTTGCTTTGTTTGGCCGCTAGAAGCGTTGCTGGCCTGACAGCTTCGAATTCGTGAAACGTCAAGGCCATTCTCGACAAAAAAAAGAGGGCAATTACCTGAAAAAACATTTCCTCTTGAAGGGATCCCCAAATGCCATGGGAGGCTATGTTATGAGGAAACTACTGCGGATGGCATCTCTGATTCTGCAGCTGAGATTCTGCAGCTGTCGAATCCGCGGATCTGCCTCCGCCAGGAAGCCAGTGAGCCTTGAGAGGCACATGGCCTACACGCTTCCGATGCGTGACATCACCGCGTAAAAGCTTCAAGAAGACACTATGTGACTATGTATCATTTGCTCGCTTAGGCGGCACAAGAACGATGAACCAAGTCCAGACCAAACTACTCAAGGAATTCCCAATGTTCCCCGGCGCCCCTCACCCTGCTATTTTTGGGGTGCGAGAAACGACATAAAAGCAGTACCTTGAAACGCCTTGCAAGTTGATAGCCTCCTCCTTGGCAGGACCTCAACCGAAAGCGCACCTGGGCACAGAGAGGCATGGCACCTCTCGCTCCTCCTTCTCCTTCACACGCCTCACACGTCACAAATCTGTGCACCGAATTGCAAGTAGTCTATGTTTAGTCTTCAGCTGAGTGGGTCGGCTCAGCTGTTTTGAGAAGGGTTTCATCCAAGTGCCGCGTCAATGATCTCCATGCCGCAAACCAAGGAGCTAATTAGACAACTACCATATAGCATTGCGCGTGATTTAATTTGTATCGGGCGAAAAGAGTCAGGGCCTCACCACGTGGGGCCTAAATAAAAGGGTAAATATTTCAGGGTTGCAGGGGCAAGCCCGAAAGGTCACAAATCCCATTCGCTTTGTTCACCCTTGGCCACCCAAGATCAACCTGGCCAAGAATCCCAGGAATTCACGCGCAAACTGGCGCTGAGTCTCTACGTACCCTGACTGATTGGCCCGTGTCTTCCTCTTCAATGTTTGCGCCTTCATTCACACCTGTCTTCTTGAAAATGAGACACCCCCTCTTGGATCGTTTCGCATTCCGCTCCACTTAAGCTCAGAACTCATGGACACGTTTCAGTGAAGGCTCGGCTCTAGACACTGCAGGCTTTCGTGTTGTTTGAGCAGAGGTGACTCGATGCAGCATGGCTCTTGCGAATTCCAGCGTTTGGCAAGGTTAGTGGGGACTGCAATGTCTTTGCAGGCGCAAGAATCATAACATGGGGGGGTGGCAAAAACGCGGAGAAAACACAGCACGTTTGTGGCCGGGGCTTCCCAAACATTCCATCCAAGGCTCTTCTTCACTGGCACCAGGGATGCGTCGAGCTCCTTCTGCAAATTAGGGGGGGGCTTCTTTCTAAACCCAGCCTGGGAAATCACACATGTTGCCGAAGGTCAAGCATGCACAGTGTCAAATGGTCAGAGGAGGCGCTGGCGCGTAACCTCTAGCCGCCCTTCAATCACGACAATAACAACACAGGCCTCCAGCCGGGCATGTGAACCTTCGGTCGGCGAGCTTGCTCAACCATCCTTGTTGCACGTCTGGCCCGTCCTTGAGAAGACTGTCCATGATCTTGTGGTCGAATTCCCGTGCTGTGTGGCCTGGTCAAGTGCAGCCAACGCAACTCGCAACTGGAGAGGGCAAACAATTCAGCGACGCGTCTACAGATTGGAACCCAGGGTCAAACAAAACGGTGAAATGAAGTGCAAGCTTCGAGAAAACACCATAAAAAAGGACTTGCCATTGTTTGCCTCATCTAACCAAGGACTATCTGGGGTAATGATGACCAAAGCGCAACCAAGATCACTGACCCACTCAGTCAATGCTGAGGCCGCCACAAGCATCCAGGTCTGCTGCTAGGTTGTTGACAAAACCTTCATTGGCCTGCCAGTGCTGTGATGGAAAATGGAGAGGTGTCGCCAATTCAACGGTGCCATCGCATGCTGCACGCATGGAAAGGGCAGTCGGGCGTGGACAAGATCAGGGAACCAGGCTCGAGAAAATTGTTTGAGCTAGGCATCACAGGACCGGAATTCGCGACGGCGTTGGTACGAATACTGGTTCAAGCTTTAGGTGTGAGTCCGCTGCAATGCTGTGGATCACCCTGAGGAAGAAATCAATTAGATCAAAACACTGAATGTTGTCGTTAGCATTCTGGATCAAAGACACGGTTGTGGCAAATCACCCCCGTTCTGTTGTGGCAAAGCGAGGGTCCATTTCACTTGGCAGTGGGTCAAAAATAGGTACCTAAAATGGAACCCTGGTGAGTGGCAAAATGGACCAAAACCTGTGGTTTCGTGGTGGTTTAATTTTGACCCACACCCACTTTAAGGAAATCACCGTAAAGTTGCCCTCGATCTCAGTGCCTCGTCCAAGTGCAAGGCCAGGACCTCGAGGGCGCTCTCGTTTCCTTGGCTAAGAGAAAAGGTGTCTTGATGAGGCCAATGCTTAGGTGTGCAACAGTCGGGCCATGGATCTGGATTCTGGAGAACAAACACATCAGCCTAGTAGGTTCACATCAATCAAGACAGCTCTACAAGAATATCGGCTCAAAGTGCCAAAAGACACAAATGCACACACAAACGCATTTGCCTAGCTGACGACGAAAGCTTCAAGCAAGATTCGAGATGACCTGCGTTTGCCGGCTTTCGCCTTGGGCGCCTGCACGACGCTTGGCACACGGCTTTCCAGTCCCCTTGCATACCCCATCTCACTTGAATCAAAGTGCATGCAACAACCCCACCTTCGGCGGCAGGCATCGTGTGTGAGCCAGCTTGGTCAAGGATTCCAGAGTCACGCCCACAGCGCCCCCCAAATTCTTGGAGCCGGCATTCACCGAGTTTCCTGTATTGCTGCGCAAACACAGGGAAGGCTAGGTGGATTTGCAGGCCGCACTATTGAATCACTATTGTGGCCCGCCCAGGATGCCGGGCGTATCTCACATCTGCACACATACGCACACACACGCACCACATCTTCGCTTGGTCAGCCCATCAAGTCAACCGAAACACTCCCACCTAGCAGAAGGATGCCCTCCAATAGGACGGGCATAGCTTTGGAGTCAATGATTGTCCAAGCTGCGGTCAGAGCCAAATCAAGCCTTGGAGAATATGTCTGATGTGGCAACATGATGTAGGCAGGATGGATGTCCAAACAGGCGAGAAGGGAAACAACACGCCCTGATGGGAACACAAGGCGGCTTGCAACTCTCTTCCCTCATGCGGCACGTTCTGATGCATGAATCAGCATGAATCCTGAACGTTTGCAGTTGAGGCAGGCTCCCACTGTCCAAGAGAGATGCCTTGGTAGGGAAGCGCAGCAGGTTCAGATTGAGCCTCAGCGTGACTGGCTATGGCATGGCGGTGCTGTCAGCTATACAGTTTAGGCTTTGGAAATGCCATGAGGCTGCAACGCGTGAGGCTGTTTCAACGAGATGCCCAGCCAAAGCAACGGCCGAGGTTGATTCAATGTTAAACAAAACTGAACATTCATGGCGCTCATATGCCTGGATCACTTCAGATCGCAACCGCTTCATAGTGCCCCCTGAATATTGGATCCAGGGGTTGACATCTGCCCGGGAACAAACAAGGGATTGGCCTTGAGGCTCCGGGCTCCACTCTCGCCTGCAGCTCTTGCAGCGGCACTTGCTCCAACAACTGCCTGAGGAAGAGCTCCGAAGGGGCACCGTCCTTCGGGCACGGATCCAACGCGGCTGGGGCCTTTCCATGGGAACCAACCCGATACAAAAGCTCCTGCGACGGAAGGCCTGGTTGGATCTGAGATGTCATGCAAAGGTAGACGCATCCCCGCGAAGCCTATGCGAGAACTGCCCTTGGTTGAATTTGGCAAATGGCGTACTTGTTGGACACGCAGGGCTTCGCTAGCCATCAGACCATCCCCGCAACAACGCTTCACATCATTTACCCGTTCATGAAGCACGTGCCACGCGGCATGTCAACCAATCAAATCTTCGCCTACGCGACTTTCTACGCGAGGCTTCACAACATGAGCCTCCACAAAATCGCAATATGCAAAATTTGTCGCCATGAAAATGTGGGCCTTGATTCATCCCACAAAACGCTGCCCGCAAATGCATTTACTTACCTGTTGGACCTGCAACACCAGTTTACATGAAGTTGATTTCGCACCTCACGTGGGTAGCTGAAGATTTCTGTCCAGGAGCGCAGGGCCAAGCAGCTGCTTTGTTCTCATCTGCTCAATGCAGCTTTGAAATTTGAAGTTCAACAAGAACTTTTCAAGCATGCCGACCTTCTGCACTGCTGATTTTTCAAAGACTCTGAAATCCATGTGAGGCAGGCCGGTGGAAGTTGATACATTTCGTGCATTCGGACTTCGCGCATAAGAAACGTACTTTACTCTGACACGAACAGCTTCAGACCACCAACACAACGATTTCCTGTCAAATGACTGCTTTTAAGTTCAGGTGTCTCTGGTCCTGACCAAACATCAACCCCAAACATAATCTTGACAAATTGCATCAACTGCCACGCAGGACATGGCTTGGCTGCATCATTGGTGTATTCATAGAGGCCTCAGTGGCATTGGCCGTCGTTCTACGAAAGGGCCTGATGCCGCGCAAGACCAAAGCAGGTCCTTCAGCGCTGCAGGGGATGTAAGGCTGCGCTCCTGCGTTCGTGCACCAACGGACTGATGGATGGGGTCGTTGTACTTCCGTTAGGCTCACCACTGTGACAAGCAGCGTGTGTCGTGCACTAGAGATTTAAGTCGGAAACACAGTGCAAGAGGCTTGTCGCAGTGCGTGGCACAACGCTCGTGTGTTTCTAGTCCAACGCTCCTCTCCCACAGCTGCGCCAAGCAAACCTACGAAGGCTTCGAGCAGATCCTGGCGGGTCTGAGTTTGTGAATGGCCATATCAGCTTGCCGCTAGGCAATAATTTCCTTTGCTTCCACAGGCTTTCACAAAGCCTGCGCGCCTGCATTGCTTTCGCCCCATCTCTTACCGAACTGGAGGCAAATGATAGAAGTCATAAACCTAGTGACCTCCCCTGCACCAGGAAAATATCTGCGCTCCAACACACACGTGTTGATTTCAGTTTCGAGATGTCCAGCATTTCAACAAGCACATTGAGGTTCATGAGCGTGGCAAGGCGACGGCAGCTTCAAGAGTCAAATCACACACTGCGCTGCAGTGCGTCAGTGACTCCTGGCGCCATAGCCTGCTACCAGGATTCTCTAGATTTGTCTTTGTCCATGCTTCTCCAGGTGTCATGCCGGGCTTACCAATGCATGTGGCGAATCAACAGTGTGAAGTTTGTAGAGGGGAAAGTGCGTAGCGTTGCCGACAGAACAGGGCGACCCTGCGGTTTTGGGCAACAAACGTGTGACGCACTTGCGCCAACACACCACAACGACTACATTGCAAATTGAGAGCCCAAACCGAGAAGATTTCGATTGATCGGACTCCAGCTTGGCACCTTAAGCCGCCTAAGCCGTCTCGCGCCTCTTTTTCTGTGCCATCAGAACTGTCCCGAAGAACTGACCCGGACTGCCCCAGCAGGCCGAGAGCTATGGAACGCCGATCAACGAAACTGGAACTGACTTGCCCACTTGGGACAATCAGCCTACATTTTGGCTCAAACGAGCCTTGGATCTTCTCCTGGCCCGCGCCAATGCAAAGCCTGCTGCCCAAATGACCAGCCAAATCAGCGTGAGAGCGGCATCCTGAGCTTCCATGGCCCGGATCTCTTAAGCAGCTCGTTGAACAATCACTTGTCAGGAAGCTTTTAGCAGCTTGCAAAGATTTCACCTACAAGCACCTACAAGTGATGTCGATGCTCCAGGACCTGTTGAGCCAGACATGGTCGAAAACCGAGCAAGTGCTGCCGAGGAGCGATGAGAAAACAACGCTTGAAGCCGAATCCAGCTGGAGGCATCTGAGACCAGTATCCCCAAAGCAAAGAACCTACCGCGAAGGCCACGTTAAAGTAGAGGCCTTAGTTCCATGTTTGGGCGGGTTGCTAAGCACAGAGAGGCTATAGTCCTGCCCTCACGCTGCCGCTCAACAGTGTTCCCGTGATTTTGTTGAGTCTTCTTTGTTAGGCTGGATTTAACCAGAAGCACCAATCATTTTTGCTGGGGCGATTCACGGTTTTGGGACTGCAATTGAACTGCGCCCGAGAGAAGGAAGGGTGGAAATTGACGCTTTTTTCAACGCCTGCTGCTGCGCCGTATAGACCATGCCAGAACTGATGCTACAAAATGATCTGGAACCAGATATGAACTGCCCCTCGTGAAGCTGGAATTCCCTAGCACCTCTTCCCAGTCACGATCCAGCAACTCCTATAGCCTAGCACCCCAATAGTCACAGCTGTCACCTGGGGTGACATTTTCATGAGACTAAAATGGTGTTAGCCCTTGCCCTACGCGTTCCCATACGGCTGTGGGTCAAAACCAATGGTACCATTTTGGGGTAGGTGCACCACCCATTATAGTCTATTTTGGTGGGGATTGGGATGTTCACTGGCGGTACGGGATTTTGACCCATGGCCATACGTTCCCAGCCGGGGTGCCATTGATGAGCGCCTGCATCTTGGCCTCGGTGCCTGGGGTCGCCAAGCGCTGGGCATACTCCACGGTGGCGTTCCAAACCGCTGCGAAGGTGAATCCATGGAGTGGCTCAATGAGGAGAACTAACCACGGCCTAAGTGGCGTTTTTATGGAGCCAGCACACGAACAATAACCAAAGTGAAAGGGTGAAGACTGCCTCGTGCAAGCCTGACTCAGTGCACACATGGAAGAAACTGGCTGCTTGAAGGTTCCGAAAACACGCAAACATTTGGAGAGGTCATCCCTTGTACAATGGTCTTACAAGGGTTGCGCAACTACGGACGCCGCGTCTGAGCTCCCTTCCACGACTCCGTGTTTTTTTTTCTCTTTCTTTCTGGGGTGGGGGGGGTGTGGGGGGTTTGGGAGCTTGGCGTTGGCACTAGTGGAACCACTTCAATCATTGAAGGCAAGATGCTGGGTTTTCGGCACCACAGCATAGAGCAGGCAACGGAGAGCCATCACCTCTGCAGCCAGCACGGGCCAGCACTGGGCACCAGCCAATAACCGTCACCAAGCACCAAACGCAGCTCAAGAAACCCCTGCCAAGTTGCGAACTCGGCAAACCATAGAACACCCACGAGGCTGTAACCCCGCTTGGTCCATAGACTGGAGATGTATTTAAAGACCGGGATCTCGAAAAGACACATGACCTCAAGCAGTGCCGCACGAAACAACCTTGTCGAGGGTTGCGAGCCCAATCTCGCACGCACCTACATAAGCCTACTCACAATTGTCGCCAAACTGCAGATATTCAAGTCATTGATATCAAAAATCCGATTGAAAAGAGCCAGGCAAGTCAGGCAAGTCACTGCCGTTGCTGCTCCAATGATCACCTTCGGGGCATGATCAAAGTCCTGCACTAAGAAGACCTGAGCCCAACAGCTCAGCAAGGCTGCCATGCAGCCAAAATCTGCGACAACAAAAACAAAGTGCATTTGAGCGGCGTTCAAAAAGCTCTCGATGAGCGCAATCAATATTCCATAAATCAAGAGATTTAGCAGCATCCAGAGCGGCTCAAACTTGCACAAGGTTTTGAGCCATTGCCGCGTGGACACTGTTGTCTGACCCTGGCGCGCAGCCTTTGGCGCGTCGGAGATGAACAACTGGATGACAAGGACGTTGATGCAAACAAGGATGCCGTAGCAAAAGAATATCGCATTGACCCCATACATGTCCTTATCTGCAGTCAATCTTGCAGGAAAAGACCCATGAAATCCACAACATCGACTAGGCTAGGCTTTGTTGGAATCCTGTATGGGGAGAAGAACCGTACAACTAACGCTTAAGATGCCTCTGCTACATGTGCTTCAGTCAGAGCACAACAAATGTCAAAGGTTGCATCATGCCAGGAAGGAAGGAAGGAAGGAAGGAAGGAAGGAAGGAAGGAAGGAAGGAGGGAGGGAGGGAGGGAGGGAGGGAGGGAGGGAAGGCAGGCCGGCCGGCCGGCCGGCCGGCAGTAGGAAGAAAGAGATAAATGAGACAAAAACAATGGAAAAAAAGGGAAGGAACAAAGCAATGCAGGAAGCAGGGAAGGGCGGCAGGCGAAGCAAGGCAAGGCAAGCAAGCCAAGCAAGGCGAGGCAAAGCAACGGCAAGTAGGACCTGATCAATTCCCCCGGACTACGAACTTCCCAGTCTACGCATCAAGTGACACCGAAACACCTCCCGGAACAACAGCCAGTTCGTGCCCAGCCACTTGAAAACTTACGCGCTACCATGTGCTACCGTTCACTGACCGAATGCCACTTCTAACTTAAACCTGACTGCCAAACCAGCACCCACCCCCACATGACAACAGCACACCTTACAATGCATTCAGTTTCCGAAAAACACACAGGCCAATGTTGGAAGGCATTGCTTACAGAAGCTTGTGCTAGAGAATTGGGACATTCGTTGGTCAGTGGATTCCTGTACAGCATTCTCCCAGGCTTTCCATTATCCCGCAATCATGACACCACCCCACAATATAGACCACCAGCATCAAATATGCAAAAATCCAAACATGTTGCATCAGCAGTTGACTTTTAAGTTGCATTGCTTCAACCAACTCCTCTCCTGAACGGGAGCGGGGATTATGATTTAGCATTGTTCATCCTTGGGTCAGACCGCTACCAAGCAGACCACCAGGGGTAACCAGGGCCATCTGTGTTTTCTACCAAAACAACCAAAAAGGACACCTATGAACACGTGGTTTCTATCTTCAACTTGCAGTTTTATTGCCAGCAGCTTGGGAGGTGCTGCAATGCAAGATCTGCCTGGTGCTGACCAGCATCCACCAGCTTCCCGGCAGCAATGGCCATGCCACCCCAGCCAACGGCACTCCAAAGGCGCTGGTCGCCATATTCCTCCTGCAGCTCAAATGACCTGCCCTATGCTGGCTGACAGGGCTCCTCGGTGGGGGGGTGTGGAGGGTTTCCACGCTGATCTATGTCATTTATTTATGCGGCGCTGGTCTTTGGTTTTGCGTTTGCGTCAAGCAAGCACCACTGCCCAAATGTTTACGCACCAATACAAATGATTTGTTTTGCAAGCAAGGCTTTAAGCTTGTCAAGCCTGCGGACGTCCTGCATCCAAGCTCCCTGTTGGTTGCAGAAAGGGCAGGGAGGCCTGGGTCCCCACCTGAAGCCCTGTCCTTCTTTTCCTGGGGCCCTGTCTGCTCTTTGAGCACCTTCAGGCACAAGCCGTCCACCACGGGACCCGCAGGAGAGGTCAGAAAGCCCTGCACGAAGGTGATTCCCAGCAGCAGCGGCCAGCTCTTGCCCACTGCTGGCAGCAAGTAGCTAAACACCAAGGCCACCGCCAGCAAACCGGAGGACGTAAGGATGAGCTTGTATTTGCCCGTGATATCCACCACAATAGACCAAAACATGCCACCCACAAAGGACATCATGGGCGTCACCACCAGCAGAAAGCCCATTAACTTCCGGCTCAAGCCTATGTGATCGTAGTAGACTGTAATGAAGCGCGCAAAGCACACATTGGCTGCAAAGAGCAGCATTTGCGTGACCTTGAGGGTCCACAAGGGCGTCCGTCTCTCATTTGCCGGCGTCCTGAGCGCAGAGCCAAGCGAGCAAACGGTTCAATGCGACTCTCAGCGGCAAAACGCATCACACCCTGTTCCAGCCACTGCTTTGCCAAGGGGATCCAAGCTTACTGTCCGGCCAGCCGCCAATGACACATTCAGTAAATCCCGGGTCTTGCAGTGGACAAGACCAATTCA